GAAATTGTGAATGGTTCCAATTGTAAAAGCTTAATAAGGATTTGAGATATGGTAAATGTATCTGGTGTGTTTAACTAGACTAGTTTGAATCAAGTTTTAACTTTTTATATGTTTTTTTGTTTGTGTTTGTTTCTCTCTCTTCATCAGAAGTTGCCAGCTGAAGCAGACTGCCGTCCATCCAGAGGCGGTCTGTAACTCCTCCCCAGTTTAAGGAGGAGTGCATGGAACTGAAGATTCAAGGAAATCAGCTGTTTTCCTCAGAGAGACTCTCAGCAAACACATATCTTGTGATGACCTAAATCCACACTGTGCTTTTAAAAAGAACAAAACCAGTTCACTTTTAATCCAATGATTTTGGACTAAAAAGTGAAAATCTTCTGCGTTTAGATTTTTCCCTTTGAGCATAAATAAAATTCAAACGAACTGAACAAAAAGTTTTCCAAAAATTATAAACATGTAGATTAAGACTGATGATTTTAATCTAACACAAGATGTGACTCGTTTGGTTTGAATGTTTTTCCTGTATTTTTATTAAAAGCTGCCATCAGGCTTTGGATGACATTTATCTGAGTCACTGTTCTGCAGCAGCCTGCAGGAGATGGGCAAAGAAGAAAGGAGATGGGGGGGCTATACTGTACAGAACAAAGGACTCTGTGCGTGGAACTGCGCATGAGTGCCGCCGCCACGCACGTGCTGTGAAGACAGCTCCGTGTCATCAAGCATTTCTACGTCAGCCGCCTTTTAAAATGACTCTGATTACATCCTCATTAGCGCGGCCCACGCAGCGGTAGGTGGATGGTGGACCCTGACCGGGGAAGGTAAGGAGGATGAGGAGTGGGCATCATCCCCCCCTCATTACTTTGTGTTGCATCAGCATTAAAGCAGACAAAGGATGCTGAGGATGCCACCGCTGCTGCTGCATCACTGCCTCCATGGCAGCATCACTCTGAATCAGTCACTGCAGAGGTCAACCCGATCAGGCAGCAGAGCAGCCATGATCCTTCCTCATTAAAAAATGAGTAAATTCCCACAATCACGCGTGTGCACGCGGGCCGTGCGCGCGCATATACATGCATCCTTTTTTTTTTTTATTCCATAAGAAAGTGAACAAAGCCACCAGAGAAGACCCCCCCCTCCCACTGACACCATGATGAGGCTGAATGAAGGAACTGACTGCAGCATCCACACATGACAATGCAAGACGGGCGCGTGTTTTTCTGACAGTCACCGCTTGTCTAATAAGAGCCTCTGGTGGAGTGTCTGTGAGCCTCCGTGGGCGTGGGGACCTGCTCCACATCTGCTTTTAACAGCAGAGAAAGCGCTGCGGTGAAAATAAGGCTCCACTTCCCAGAGATCCTGCAGAGAAAGGAGCGGAGTGAGTCCAATCCAGGCTGGCTCGCGCTCCTTACGCAGCAAATACAGTCCTGCATGTGCGCGCGCGCGCGTGCGTCTATGACCACACAAGAAAGAGGAAGAGTGCATGACATGATCTGGGATTTTAAAAGCCAGTATTTATAAAATACTAGTGAATGAGTGTGATGGTGAACTTCCAGGTTTCCTGACTGAGGGGGGGTTTAATGACGCTGCAGGGTCGGTGATCAGCATCTGCTGTCCGGCGGAGCTGATCCTGGATCTGCGGCGCAGGGAGTCCTCCAGCAGCGGAGGAAAACGGGCTGCGCTCGCGGAGGATTGACTGAAAGCACAACAGGATGTGGTGCTGAGGAGTGTTTCACTCCTAAAGCCGCCTTCACACCCCTACACATTACACCCTCTCCAGATTCGCACCGCACGCCAGGCTTTCACCATTTGCGCGTGCGGTTTCCCCCCTTCTACTTTTTTTTTCTTATTAATTGACTTTTTTTTGTCCACATAAGTAGAGAAAAGTGGCGCGCGCTTGGAGGCCACCGCTCTGACACTTATGCAAGTTTGCAACTCGCCGTTGGCAGCATCACCAATGAACGGGGAGGCTGAGATTAGGAGCAGGGAGGCACATGAACACAGCCAGGCGTGAATGGACGCGCTTACCTTTTACTTTCTATTCCTCTGCTGTTCCAGCCCTTCGGTCCGTTTCCATTGAACTTCTTTCACATGATGCCTCCTCGCTGCTGCTCGTTTCCTCAAAGCCTCTCGGCTGCAGAAGGCCACTTCTTCCCCAGTTGCCGCAACCAGCCTGTTTCTTTCTTCTCTGGAGCTTAAAGGAACCGCGTTAAAAAAATAAAAAAAACAAGCCCGTCTTTAATTCTACGGTCTGTTGTGGAGGTGCGCGCGCGCGCGTGTGTATCCGTGTGATCCTCCGCGGCGTGCCGCTCCGTCTCCGCTGTTTGTTACTCTCAACTGGAACGCCTCCTCTCAGTGGCTACATTGTTGACATTCGGCCGCTGACGTCACCCCACTCCCTCATTCACAACATCGTAGGCGCGCGGTCGCTTTAGCGTTGCTGTGGGCGGGAGGCGCGCGCGCACTCCGGGAACGGCCGCAGTGGAGCTTCGAGAATCGCCCTGCTGGCCGCTGCCTTAAATCCCACCCCCCACTGACCCCTCCTCCTCCTCCTCCAGCGGGACCGTGACAGTAAATGATGACACAATACATTTCTCTGTTTACATGCTGCCAGCAGGAGGAAAACTATCAGCAGTAGTAGTACTATAGTAGTACTGTAGTACTACTGTTTCATATTACAGTAGTTACAATTTAAAAGAAAAACTAAAATCATCACAACTCCTCCTGATTTATAAATGTAATTTTAATTTATAGCTACATAAGGACCAGAAAATACTGTTATTGATTGTGTTTATTTTTTTAACAGTGTCCTGTACGGAAGAGGGTTAGAGCCACTGGAAAAAAAATTAACTAATTTTTAAATATTATTTCTTTCTAATATGCGAAAAAAAAGTCAGAATTCTGAATGTAGATGGGAACCATGGAGGTAGAGATGTGGAGCACTCAGCTTCACTGACCGATGTGAGCTGTTTGGGAAGAACAGTAACACTTTGGTGGAAAATGAGGGAATTAGGCAACTTTACATGATGCTATTTCAATAATGGAAGAGCAGAAGGTGATTAAAACCAGACAGCTAGTCTCTAAATCAGACGTGTTTGTTAGCTGACTGAATTCAATCAGAATTATAAGATTAAAGTCAGAATTCTGACTTTCATTACACAATAAACTGATAAAAAAAAAAAAATCATTTAACTTTTGTTTACTTTTTCAGTGGCTCTAATCCTCTTCCGTAGTCCTGTCTATCAATAAGAATAATTATCTTGATGCCAAAGAGAGCCCAACAGATTTTACTTTCACAAGTGGAGCAGTAGGGTTATCACCATAGTGTTCCGCTTGACTTATGCATATAAATTGCTTTATTATAATTATGCAGGGAGAATTACAGATTATATGGACACTGTAATGTAGGTAGGACAGGAAGAAGGAGAAAATATGAAATAAATAAATAAAAGGGTGATAATAATAAAAAGTCTTCAGTCTGCTTCATCACCTGATGTAAAAAGAACAGAAAAAAACAACGGATATAGTATAATAGATAAATAAAGTAACACCTTGATACTATCGCTGAAGTATAAGTAGTATTTGTTATAGGCTCAAAACCTTGGACCCAATATTGAAAGCAGACAGAGCTGGATGAGTTCAAAACTAGTCTTTATTGAACACTCAGCGTGCGGCTGCTCGTCAGCTGGAGTGGATAAACTGGATCCTCTGTAGGAACAGAAACTCAGGTCAGTGACTAATAATAACGGCTGATAACGATTAAGAGAAAATATTCACTGACCTGTTTCAGAGGAGCTGATGCCAGCCGACGCAGAGGGGCAACAGAGTCCTGAAGGGAAAGCAGAACCAAGTTCACAGACCAGAAGATCAGAGAGCCGATGAGGTATAGAGGGGGAATCCAAGCCGAGGTCAGAAGAACAGTCCAGCTACGGTAAACCATTAGAATCCAGGAATCAATCCAGAACAGAGCAGATTAAAGAGCAGACAGGGGAAAGCAAACTCAGGATCCACAGGGTTGAAACAGGTCAGAACAACAAGAGTAACTCACAGGGAACAGCTTGGATAATCTGGCACTGGCAGCTGGAAACATGCAGCATATATAGGAGCTGGAAACAGGTGGATCAGATACGCAGTAATGAGAAACCAGGCAGAGTTAAACAGGTGAATGGAACGAGCATCAAGCCAGCCACCAGTGCCAGGACCATGACAGTGTTATTCAATCTGACATGTATGCTGTGGTAGCTGAAGATTTCTGTATGGAAGGGAATCTCTAAGTACCTGGAGCCCTAGGAGCAGAATATACTGTATTGTTAATTACAGTATTTGCTCCAGTCTATCAGAGAGAGGGCATTTAGTGCTGCTGCTGCCCATCATCTGTGGAATGCCCACCCTGACAACCTGAGGGCTCCTTAATCCACTCAGTGTTTTAAAACATTTCTTTGGTTCCCTTTAGATGTTTTTCTCTCTTCAAAAAATAGTTTTTTATTCTTTTCTCTTTTTTACCTGTAGTACTTTGAGATCTTTTGATGGAAAGTGCAATATAAATGAAATGTATTATTATTATTATTAATAATAATATTTCTATTTCCTCAATCAGGAAAAAACAATACTGCAATTTAACAGCATTTTATATATGATTTGAAGGTGTGAGATAATTTCACAGGAACAAAAGCAGGATTATTTTATTTTATAATTGTTTTTGGTTCAATGTCAACACAAATCTGGTTCATTCAAACACATTTTTACAGTGCAAACAAGGATCTAATTTATTCGATGCCAAAGTGCTTTCTATAGTTGTTACTGTTTTTTATTTTTTATTTTTCTAGAGGAGTTGTATACGTTAATAGTCAGGCAGGATCTGCTGCAGCGGTCTGACTAACAGTCTGATAATGTTCTTCATAATGAAGAATTCATGTAAATTGATTCGGAAGCAGCCAGCTTTATTTTTCTGTTTCTGATCATTTTTCTGTCATGATCAGCTATAATCAGCAGGGAAGGTTCAAACGGTGAGGGTAGAATTGTTGCTCCATTATTTAGACGCTAGTGGGGCTGCCTGCTGACAGATATATTCTGGATTTATTGAGAGCCACAGAAGAAAGGAGCCCTGTATGTGTGTGTTTGTACATTTATATCTAACTGATTCTGAGCCTTCAGCCCCAAACAGCAGGAGCACAGGTTTATCCCAGATATTCTCTACATGTTAGCTGAGTTTATTATTATTATTATGATTATTTCCTCTCAGCCATGAATGACATTTCAGCACCACAACAACGATTTAAAAACGAGTAAAACTTTCTTAAAATAACTGTATTTATGCTTAATTCAATTCATTAAAAAAATAGAATTTTAGTAGATAAATAAGATGTTTCAACTGTGCAGTATGTTTACCCTTAAAACAAGATAATTAGATAATATGCCCTTGAAATAAGAGATTGCATGTGTTATTTTTGTTATTTTGAATGTATATTATATAAACTTACTCTGTTGTAAAGTGTCTCACTTAATAATAATAATACATTTTATTTGTAAAGCACCTTACATTTAAAAGAAATCTCAAAGTGCTACACACTGGAAAAAAATGTAATCTAGATAAGTCATTTTTTCTTAACATAATTGCATTTGTTTGTGAATTTAAGAGGTAAAAAAAAGACATTTTGCAAATGGAACAAGACAATTTAGATTTAAACACAATTGCTTTGTATTATTTCAAGTGCATATTATCTAATTATCTTATTTTAAAACTAAAAATACTAATACTATTGGCACATTTTCTCATTTACCTACTCAGATTCAGGGTAAATACACTTAATTTAGGACATTTTTACTTATTTCTAGATTGTTTTTTCAGTGCAGGTAAAATCAATTAAAAAAGGTAAAAGAAAAAAAAAACTAAACATCATTGTAAAGTAAATATGAATAAATTGGTGGAATAATTATAAAAGGTTAACAGTTTTAAGTTCTGCTAAAAATAAAGGTTTTTATTCGTTTTTTTAAAAGGAAAATGCATTTATTTTAAGAAAAAAATGACTTTGATTACATTTTTTTCAGTGGGGGAAATCAGATAAATTTTATGATCACTTTTATTTTTAAAAATAATTTTTTTGGTAGTTTTGATTATTTTTACAAGCCTAATCGTGTTGATGCAGAGCCCCAAACCGAGCAGTGCATGAAAAACGTTCCAGCAGTGATACATCCTGACCTGGAAGCTGGTATCAGTACCATCAGTCTCTTCAGCTGAATGCATTCTTCACTGATTATATTGTTTTACATAAATCTGACATAAGATCCTCCCATCGCTGATCTCTGGAGACATTTGGCAGGTGACTCTCTCCCTCTGCCCTGTAGATCGGGTGGCAAACACATTAAAGGCAGAGAACTGGAGGATGATGATGTTCAGCATAGAGGGTATTTATTCATAATGTTTTGGTCCAGGTGGGAGTGGGCGGCGTGTAGGGAAGAGCTAATGACATCATCCGTGGATCTGGTGATCTATTCAGCCTGCCGGTCTGTTGGTGAGCAGCTTCTGCGAGGCTGTTATAAAGAAACTATTTGGCTTTTTTTATTTAATTGTTTTATTTCCAAATACATGGTGAAGCAGACATTTCTAAAAACACTTCCTTACTGCATCATTGATTTTACCTTCACATGTGGATTTGTATCTTACTTCTGGAATCTAAGGAAATGATTTGGAATCTGTACTTTTATTGATTTTATAAAGTTTCTTTATTGTAATGTTTTGCTTTGATCTTGTTAGAGGAAGCCTGAAAATGTTGCTCATTTGTTCATTAAACTTTATCTGTAAATACAAAAACAGTAAAAATGTGATCACCAAATGTGATACGACCTCATACTATTTACGATGTTTCTATTTTTTTATTTCTGCTTTTTGTTCCTTTTTATACAATAAAATAGAACAGAATAGAATAGAATATAATAAGAGCAAAATAAAATACAATAGAATAAAATAAGATAGAATAGAATAACATCAAATAGAATAGAACAGAATAAAATAGAATAGAATAAAATAAAATACGATAAAAAAGAATAGAAAAGAAATGAATAAAATAGAACAAAATAAAATATAATATAATAGAATAAGATAAAATAGAAGAGACTAAAATAGAATAGAATAAAACAAGAATATATTAGAATAAAGTAAACTAAAAAATAATAGAATACAATAAGATAGAATAGAATAGAAAAAAAAAAACAAAATAAAAATAAAATAGAATAAAATAAAAAAAAAGAGAAGAAAATAAAATAGAATAAAACAAAACAAAATTAGAATAAAATAAACTAAAAAAAAAAAGAATACAATAAAACAAAACAGAATAAAAAAAAACAAAAATAAAAAAGAATAGAATAGAATAAAATAGAATAGAATATTGTTGTTTACTAACTTAAGTGCAAAAAAGGCAGAAAGAT